TGGACAGAGACTTTGGGGGAGGGGGCTAGTGTTAGAGATGACAGAGAGCATCCTCGTTGGCCTCAGGTGTTCTCTTCTGCTGTGTCCTCAGACAACAAACATTGTTTTCACTTTTTTTTTTTTTTTGGACAAGATCTAACGTAGCTCGGGCTGGTCTCACTATGTATCTCACAATGACCTGAAGCTCCTGATCCTACCACCACCTCCAGAGTGTTGAGATTATAGCAGTGTGCCTAGTTTTTTTTACCACATCTGTTTTATGGGTTGCTGGGGATTGAACTCAGGGTCTCGTGCATGCCAGACAAGTACTCTACCAACAGAGCCACATCTCCAGCCCCCAGCATGCTGTCCTCCTGCCAAGCTCAGCCTGTCCCAGCAGCTTTTAGCAAGCGCCAAATTAAAAATCTGCCTTTGTTTTCCCCCAGCAACCACCCCCCCCCCAAAGAAAATCTGCCTCTCCTTCTTCTGCCTCAGCTCCTCTGTGTGTCCTTCATGGTGGGCCCCTTACTCTGTCCCTGATCCTGGATTGACATCTGGGCAGAGGGAGGTTCTGGTCTATGCTAGGAGATAATGGACTCAAGGGCAGAATCGTTGAGGTCAGTCTAGAGGTCAGGCCTAAGCCTGGATGATGGAGCTGCTGTTTGCAGTCTTGTGGATGCAAAAAAGCAGAAAAGGATGGTCTGTGGAGAGAAGGATGGGCCAAGAGTGGTCCAGGTGGAGAGCTCCAGAGAAGAGCACACACAGCTCCAGAGAGAGGCACTGGGCTGCAGACAGACCTTGCTTACTGATAACCACCCCAGTGGGCTTTGATGGCTCTATCCAAGCATGCTCTGGATCCTTGCCATGTCATCTGCAAGGCAGTGTGTGTGTGTTGGACGAGGATGAGGGTGGGGGGTGTCCTTGCCCTGCCTGGCCCACTGAGATGCAAAGTGAGACAGTGGTGGTAATGCTTATCAGCTATAAGGTGTTGTGTAGAGCTACAGAATTATGATGAGAAGTGGAGCCTGCCTCCCTCCCTTCCTCCCTCCCTCCCTCCCTCCCTCCCTTCTTCCTTCCTTCCTTCCTCCCTCCCT